AAAAACAATACCAGTCATGAAAGTGTCAATGAAATTTGGATAAAGTTTTGGTTTTTGTGAGACCAATATCTAACAAGTCCCATTTACGAGTAGTTAATTAATCTATTGAATACGAACAACAATTACCATCTTTACTACTCATGCCAGCGAATTAACATTGTGTTACAATGTTAAATTAGTATGCAACAGTGGACTAAAACATCTGAAATCATACTAATATTATAAAATGCGAAAGTTTGGTTGGATGGATGTTTGTTAGAGTTTGTAGCCTATAACCGCTTAACGGATCGATCGATGATGTAGAGAATAGTCTTGAAGAACACGTAGGCTACACTTTTGATTTTTTTTATTCTGCAGACGGAGGGAGTTCCGGGCGAAAGCTAGTGCAATAATGTATCAATATTAAATGAGAAAACATTTACCTGAAATTAAATGATTCGTAGTTCTTTACACCTTCCCCCGAAGTTATAGTCGAGTACTTTCATTAGCTCCTAAACCCGTAGAAGAAAGATGGGAGTTGAAGTTTCGTTTATCTACTCAACATATAAAAACTATAATTTCACTCCTTAAGATGTTTCAATTAAAATTACTTGCTAAAAACGTCTTTAATTTACTTTGATGCCACCGTTTTCGCTACTATCGTAGTTTTGTTATCTTACTGAGGTGCTTATTTCCACCGCCAACCACCACTGTGTAAATATCACTGTGATCGATATTGTATTGCATAGTTAACGAAATAATTGAGTTGAGTGACGTACCTCGATATTGCTAAACCGTTGATTTAGTTAGAACTTAGATGTTTTACTGTCTGCTGTGAAAAATAATGTAAACACTACAATTCGTAGCAATCCAAACAAAGAAAATATTATTTGTCCCTAAGATTTCCGGTAACAATCTCTACCGACATTAGCTACCCTTATCCAAGCTATAAAACCGTTGCATCTTATTTCCTCATTTGGCTATTAATGTACTTCCTCTGAAGTTACAAATGACAACGGGTCTCATTGGTCACTTAAAAATCAATGATTCCATTGAATTTGTCAATCCTAAAAACACCGTAGTACACAAATCCACGCCACATATATCACTGCAAGAATATCTTCGTGCAAGATTTATCATCGCTTTGTAATAACAATTGTATATTATTAATACACCAATTTTTGTATGCGTATTAGAACAATACTTGTTTCTTATTGTGTAAACCATTTTCCTCACCGTTATCTGTTTATTCCACTATGTTTTTGAATAACAAATGTATTGTTACGCGCAAATGATTGCTAATACAATAAAGTGATTTAATAATTATGATGCTTATTTTATTATTAAGTAACATCTAATGTATTAACAGTGGTAGAGCCCGCTTTAACATCTTTGCACAAATGGGTCGGCTCACCTAGTGAATTACCACGACCACACAGAAGACAGGCGTGAAGTGGGAGCAATTCCGCGTTTCTGAAGAATGCGGTGCCGAAGGCCCAGTTTTACTCCATTTCTCGTTCCTCCCACTTATTATAGGGAAAGGATTATATAGGAAAGTGGATTTGACATAGGAAGGGTTAATATCCTCTTTATGTGCATCTCCTCCTCCGTCGATTTAGGGTAGACATCAGCAATTGCAGATGCATATCTGCAATTGCTGATGTCTACGGGCAGCGGTCGCGTCGCCATTTTGGCAGATTTACGTGGCAGCTTGCTCGCTTGCCACCTTACTGAATTTAATGTTTATCAGAACAGCATTATAGTTAAAAGTCTTTACTATAGTATTTTTAGAGACATCTGAAGTGAGACATGGAAAAGCAAATAGATTGGTTTGCTTTCATTATGTAAGACTAGAAAAGCAAATTTAAACAATGTTTTATTATGTCTTCCTATGATAATATTTTTTTTGTACTTTTTATTACAGAAACCGCCGACAACAGTTCGTATATTCGACCGCAATGATTACTATAGCGTACACGGTGAAGATGCTAAAACAGCCGCTCGCGAAGTCTTCTGTTCCATCGCCAATATCAAGAAGATGGGTCTCGAGCCAGATAAACTCGACTACCTCGTACTGTCCAAAGGAAACTTTGAAATACTCATCAGGAAACTTTTACTGGTATGATTAATGCTTTAAGATAATACTATTAGAGTAATTAAATAGACCACAAGGATGGGTTTATAAGATAAAACATATGCAGCATTGTAAGGGTTAGTTATATTGTAGTACACGTGTTACAATAATAGAAACATTGTAAGCGTAGGAGAGGACTAACGGCCGAATATTGAAACGAATTCTAACACCTCGCTTAGTTAGCTCCACTTACTAATGGTCGTCATAATTTTAATAGAATTTGAAGTTTTAGTGTCTCCATATAATTTAAGACAGTTTAGACGGATGGATGTTTGTTAGAGTTTGTAGCCTAAACTGCTGAACGGATTTCGATGAATTTGGCATAGATGTAGAATAGTCTGGAAGAACACATAGGCGACTTGCATTTGTTTTTTTTTTAATTCCCCGCAGACGGAGTCAAAGGCGAAAGCTAGTGATTAAATAAATGAAAACTTCAGCAACCCAGAAACGTATACCTTATCTGTAGATTAAGTTTATTAACACTATGATGAAATATAAGGGTAATACCGGAGTATCTTTGCTGGTTTTTTTCTATAATTTTGCATCATATTTCGCAAGTTAATTATTTCCGCTTATATTTTTTTTCCTTGGCAATTTCTAGGTGAGGCGATACCGAGTTGAGATATACGTATCGGAAGGATCAACAAAGAATAACGAATGGAGGTTAGAGTATAAAGGTTCTCCCGGCAATCTGTCGCAATTAGAGGAGGTGTTAGGTGACGGCCTCGGCACTAACAATGATAACGCCCCTTGCTTGATGGCGGTCAATTTCAAAACGGATTCCGTGACGAAGGTAATTTAAAACATTTTTCTATGAAAATCGTAATTATAATGCAATGTTTTATTATAACTGTTATCTTACTTATATACATGGGAACGTTTAAATGGATGTTTATGAGAGTTTGTAGCTAAAACTGCAGAACCGATTAAATACAACTAAAACGAAAAAATATACGACAATAAACGAACGGCGGGATTCGAACCTTCGATCGCAAGATCGGTAGTCCGTACCCCAAACCATTGGGCTATCGGCGCTTACTGCTTAATTGCTTTGTAATTCATGAGTAATAGAGTAGTATTTAAAAACTACGTATTTATAACTTTTACTCCTGACTTCCTCGCGAAATTAACACAGTCTAGTTATAAATGTAGTCTATGTTATTCAGTGATAATGTTGTTTTCTAATGGTAAAAGATTTATCGAAACGATCCAGTAGCTTTTGTATTTATACGTAAAATACAAAAATCAAACAAAAAAATGGGACCCACCTGCAAGCATTACCTTTCGGATAAAAAAAGAATTATCAAAATCGGTCCACTAGCGGCGGAGTTATGCCGTAACACACATAAAAAAAATAAAAAAGAAACATACAGACGAATTGAGTACCTCCTTCTTTTGGGAAGTCGGTCAAAAAAATACTTTTTCCTGCTTACTTCTTACCTTACAAATGCAAAATTTTGGATGAATGTTTGTTAGAGTTTGTAGTCTAAACAGCTGAATGGATCTAGATAAAATTTGGCATAGATGTTGATGATAGTCTGTAAGAACACACATGATACTCGTATTTGTTTTTTTTTTATTCCACGCGGACGGAGTTGAAGGCGAACGCTAGTATTAGTATAGATACAGAATCTCTTGAAATTCTAACTGTATGATGGTCCAACAATATGATTGTGATAAAACATTAGGGGTGACAAAAGTTGATTTTTTTAATTTTTTTTAATATGCTTTCCAGGGTCGTCTTCTTGGAGTGGCTTGTGTGACAGCCGCTGATTACCAATTCTCAATATCGGAGTTCACAGACGATGATTTACTGACGCAGTTGGAGACTATCACTGTACAGATGGCGCCCGCGGAATGCCTTGTCATACAAGGTGATAATGACGATGTAAGTATATGAAAATCTTTATTATGTACTAACTTTAGACCGCAACTTCGTCCGTGTGGAATAAAAAAGTAAGTAGCCTATGAGTCTTCCAGACTATGCTCTACGTCCTTACCAAATTTCATTCAGATCCGTTCAGCTGTTTATTCTACACACTTTAACAAACATCCATCTATCTGAACTTTTATATAATAGTAAAATAAGTAACAAGGTATCAAAATTGTGCATTTTACCCTAATAAGCTTTTTGATTGGCTTCGTTTTTTTTAAATTGCAAAACCAGCGCTTGACCACTATCCCACCTAGACCAAGGTGAAGATGCGGTCGAAGGAAGGTACGCGCTAATTTTACTATACATTATGGCTTATGGATATCAATGCTTATAAATTTTGTGTACTATTCGTCCAAATCAATTAATTTCAAGGTCACAAGGTATTATTGGATTGTTTACGCTGTTATTTATCCTTATAGGATGATTCTAAGAAGTGTTATGAACATATGTATACTAATATAATAAAGGATGAACACACAATTTCTTATAAAGGGTAATTTTTTAATAAGATGCTTGGGGTAGGGTAAATGAATTAGGAAAATCGCAAGAAGCAAAGTTGCCATGGTTAAATTCTCAGCTAATGGCTTTTGTAGTCATTTAATTTTTTTATGAAATATAAACAATAAAATTATGTACTTATAATGTCATACTGTTGAAAGCGTACTAAAACAGCTGGTAATAAAAAAAACCGGAAGCACGATTTTTTAACTTTTTTAATGCGATTTATCTCATTTCAGCAAAAAGCCTTGAAGAAAGTGATGCAACGGGCCAACGTGACGGTGACAAAATTGAAAAGATCCGATTTTTCCACCGAAGGCTTAATACAGGATCTGAATCGTTTGCTGAAGTTCAAATCCAGTCAGTGTCAGGATGCGAACTCGTTCGTGGAGACGCGGCAGGAGGTGGCCATGTGCAGCCTGGCCGCGGCCATCAGATATACCACTCTGCTCAATGACACCACCAACTTTGGAAGGTAACTCCATCATCAGTCTGGACATACACCTTTCCAATGTCTACTACTAAGTTTATTCCCAACCGTCACCCCGCTCTGTCCCCACGTGAGAATAAAAAGTTTCATCCGTCCCTCCTTTAGCAATGAGAGGACGGTTGAGACTTATTTTATTTCACAACGGTTACATCTGTCACCTTGTTGGTGATAGTTTGACTAAACTATTTGCATATAATTTAAAAAAATATTCTATAGTCTATATGTAGACTGTGTTCTATATCTGTGCCAGATTTTAGTGAGATCCGTTTACCCATTTTAGGGTACGTAGTAACAGTTATCTAAACATTCGCATTTATAATATTCGTAAGATAATAAAAATTATACTCAAATATGTAAATATGTATGTAAATTATTTCATAATGTTGCATTTTATTTATGCACTTTTAAGGTATCAGAATTAAATTTACAAACTGTATAAAATCTTTAAATACAAATAAACGCGCTATCTTAAACAAAAACAATATGTTATCTCTATCATTGTTTTTGAAAAAAAAAATGAGAAAACAGTGTTTTTGTACTAATATTTGTAGTTAAAAGTATTTTTAATTCAAAGTACATGTTAATCATATTTTATTAATGCAGCCGCGTCGGTTACGTTGACCTTAATTATAAACAAGTCGACTTATCTCATTTCTTAGGATTTCTCTCGTAAACACTAGATAATTAATCTATGGATAGTTCTCGAATGAATAATTATACGACGCTTAGATGTTTCATACATATTTCCATGGTTAGAAAATAATTTATGTAATTTCATTATATCAATTATTAGTTACTAGTTTTCGCCCGCGATTCTGTACGGGTGGAAAAAAAAGACAAAATTGAGTAGTGTGTGTTTTGCCAGACTGATCTACACCTATGTATGCCAAATATCGAGATCTATTACCCGTTTCGACTATAAACTCTAACAAACATCCATCCATTTCGCTTTGTAAGTTTGTAGTCTCGGTGTATTTTAAGGAGATACTTAAATACTAAAGTATACCTTGTTATAAATTTAGCGATACATTTAGGTGTAACAAATAGACGAGTCCAGAAAGTTAATTATTATTAAAATAGGAAAGAACATTAGTTACATTTCTACGTCTAAATTAAATACAAATAGTTAATGTATAGAATTTGCTAGAAAAAAGTAAAATGATTGTCGACGGTTGCAGATAAGTATTCTTCCACATTCCCTCCCCTGTCAAACCCATTCCTCTGATCATCCTTTTAAAGTAAGAAAATGTTATGATGAAAAATCAAGCATGAAGTTCCACGTGATATCTACAACGTGTAAAGACACGCGGAAGAGATATGCTATATTTACGTAATAGTCTTATTAGCATGTTATACATTATATAAGTAACTAGTTTCCCTATCTTCTTACTAATAATATCTGAAAGTTAAGATTAACATTGTATTGTTTCTTAGAAATTACCTACAGAATGTCATAATGGATCTTGCTAAAATTTTCCACAGACGTAGAACATAGTTTGGGCTATTTACTTTTTCTAGTATTTCTAGTATACTTATAATTAATATTTAAAGGTTTCTTATATGCTTTCCCTCTGTGCATATTTGTAACATAATATCAAGGTAGTGTAATTTTTATTTTTGTTTCTTAAGGCTGGGCATACCAACTCAAGATATAACATTAATATTGTTGCTCTTTTATAGTTTTTTTCTATATTTCGATACTAATATAAAAACAAAAGATTAGTATTTTTGTATGTATTCATATAAAAATAGGGCAGATTAAAAAAAACACCATTAGATAGGTATGTCTATGAGTAACATAGGTTATATATTTAATTTATAACCACATACATCATGTAGCTAGTTGTTGTTCGCTAGTGCGTCCATATACATGGACGCACTCGCGTGCAACAACTAGTCTGATAAGTGATGTGATTGTGTATTTCTGTGCACCCAGGTTCAGTTTGAGCGCGATAGCGACGGAGGGTTTCCTGCAGCTGGACGGCGCGGCGCTGAGCGCGCTGCACGTGTTCCCCGCGCCGGGCGAGCCGCCGTCGCACACGCGCAGCCTCTACGGCCTGCTCGACAGGTGTCGCACGCAGCACGGCAAACGGTAAACATTCATATTGTTAATAATAAAATATTGATTACTAACTTTTGCCCGACCGTCCGCGTGGAATTAAAAAAAATCGTTATGAAATAAGTTCCAAGTAAGGTGGGACGGATGAAACTTTATTCTCATCTGTCCCCGCGTGAAAATATAGATTCCTCCGTCCCAACTTTCAATCCCACTTTCATCTATAAGGTGAAAAATTGAACCGTGAAATAAGTTCCAATAATCATCTAATCGCAAAAGGTGGGCCGGATGAAACTTTCTATTCTCGTCT